TTTTTTTTTTTTTTTTTTTTTTTTATTTTTTTTTTTTTTTTTTTGATAAAAAATTTTGGGGCCAGAGGGGGGGGGGGGGGGGGGGGGGGGCAAGTGCCCCCCTGCCCCTACCTGCGGGCGCCCATGACATTGGTGACTACGGTATCATTGGTTAATTTGGTATCACTGGTGACTATGGTATAATTGGTGATTATGGTATCAGAGGTGATTCAGCAAACTAAGCCTTTAAGATAATTAGGGAATGACATAGGCCTAATTGTGGCAGGATGCCCTACAGTTAAAGGTGACTAAGTGGTGTTAGAGCTTAACGTCAACATAAAATATGGCGTAACTTCTTTACACAATAAAATTGCGTTCTAGAATCTAGAATACGCTAAATTTACCTACTGCATGTCGTTGTCAGTTTGATTTGAAGTCAATGTCTGGACTCAGCAAAAACCAAGCTGGAGAGGGTGATTGCTTGACGCGCCTTGCATCATCCACCATCCAGGGATTCTATTTCAGGTAGAGGGTGACACGTCTGTGTCCCTGTAAACAATACAAAACTTCGATATGTTTGACCACTCGTGTGGACAGTAGTGCGATACATTATGTTCCTGCGGTAGTTAAAAAATGTTTCTCTCCGTTTTTGATTTATAGAATTTTTTTTTAATTTAGAAGCTTTGCGTCAAATCTGTGACCTTCGGTTTTAAAAGTTGACGTGCTCAAATGAAAACTTTCAAGGGAGAAAAATATAATATTCATTTTATCAAAGTTAAAAAGGAATTACCTACCCTTATAAAGTAAAAGGGCTCATTGGATTGGATAATATTATATTACCTTATTACACAATTTAACAGTTAGTTTTTTTTTTTTTTTTCATTTTTAAATATATCATAAATTAAGTACAAAACAAAAGTAAATGGTGCAAACCTACCAGTTTTCCAGTTTTGCTACTGATTACTCTAATGCCATTTATATTTATATAAATATATACCATCCATTATTTTTCTATTTTTTGTACATATTTTTTTGATTGGATAATATTATTTTATCTTATTATTTAATTTAACAGTTAGTTTTTTTTTTTTTTTTCATTCTTAAATATATCATAAATTAAGTACAAAACAAAAGTAAATGGTGCAAACCTACCAGTTTTCCAGTTTTGCTACTGATTACTCTAATGCCATTTATATATATATAAATAGATACCATCCATTATTTTACTATTTTGTGTACATATTTTTTAACGAAATGGCTACTAGCACCCAGGTATCAGAAGTGAGAGGTTGGGATTAAAAAAAAGCTATTTTAAATATTATTGTTGGATTTGTAAGACAAAATGAGGAATCAAATGAAAGTTAATTGAATGGACTATACGTTTGGCTATGTGTACCCGGGTCCCTTTAGACTAAATCCCATTCGGATGTCATTTGGGTAGTTTATTTTATTTAAACTTAAGAAATAAGTTTCCAAGCATATAGTCCATTCAATTAACTTTCATTTGATACCTCATTTTGTCTTACAAACCCAACAATAATATTTAAAATATATTTTTTTTAATCACAACCTCTCACTTCTGATACCCGGGTACGAATAGTCACAGCCTTTTTTTTAATGTAGTTGAAATAAAAAGGATATTAGCTTTTTGTTGCAATTCTGGAGATTTAAAAATATAACCAAATATTTTAAAAACTTTTTTTCTTCCTTTAACACTGTTCCATAATGTCTGTATTGTTTCCATAGTTTGTAAGACAGTCTGATTTTTTTTTTTTTTTTTTTTTTTTGTGGCTTTTTGTTTTTTTTTGTTGGTTTTTTTTTTTTTTTTTTTTTTTAATTTTTTTTGGTGCATTTTGTTATATGTTGTTGGTTTTTTTTTGTGTTCTTTTGTTTAACTAGTTTTGAAAAAGAGATTATAATAAAAGTGGTTTGAGAGAGGACAATGAAATAGAATTCTTATACATACGAAATGAAGTGTTGATATTTTGTGTTCTCTTTTTTTGTTACCGATGACGTAGTGAGATTTGCGGAGGCCCGCTCCTGGTTACACATTTTTATTGCTATGAAGGGTTGGCCTTTTTGGGGGCAAACTGTAGACTTTTTATCATGGAAGGTGGACGGCGAAAGTCTTGACCTGGCCCATGCGGCATTTACCCTAGATACGCCGATGGATGTTACGATCTAGGATAAGGCATATGGGGCTTCATTGGAGAGGGGTCTTTAAAAATTCCCATTGGAAGTAGGAGTAGCCCAACAAGAAATCATTTTCTTTTTGTTGTTTTGAGTGTCGTTTAGAGACCTTTTTTTTTCTTATTTATAAGTCTCCTTTAAATAGTTAGTCCAAACCATAAATAATTAATTTTTTGAAATTTAAAAAAAAAATTTAGTCCTGAAGACAGATGTTTTTTAAAGCCACAATGTAGAACGAACCATAAACCAGGTCAGATCATAGAGTAAGCTTTTTTATCTTATTTAGAATTTTAATAATTTGCATACTTTCTTGGCCCAAAGCAATTTAGCTGCGAGATTATAATGGTTCAACTGTGACACTCTTTTTTTTTTTTTTTAAAGAGCATCATTTGAGATTCTCAATTATTCAAGACAATGACACAACATGCATTACACATACTTTAGACATCAGATTACATATTAAAAAATAATAATTTCTGAATAAGGAAATATTTACAAAGTTTTTCGCCGTTTCTGCTATTATGAAATAAGGCGGAGGGTCTGCGATCAGGTTAGCAAAAGAAAAAAGGAAATACGTAAAACAAAGTATGGGAAAACCAATAAAAAAGGAACGCAACAAAACAACGAACGTGACAGCAGGAAGCCTTCGTCAGCGAACAAACAACATAAAAACAGAATTAAATTAAAAAGAATTGCTAAAACAATTGCTGTCCTCGCGGATACTACTTTACAGCTAAGAGCTATTTTTTAAATTTAATTCTCCTTTTTTTATAGTTGTTCGCTGACGAAGGCTTCCTGCCGACACGTTCATTGTTTTGTTGCGTTCCTTTTTTTTTCCAGGTTTTTCCATACTTTGTTTGACTAATTTCTCTTTCTGCTAATACTTCGACTTATATTTTAAATCAGTATCTATCTTTAAATCTGATCCACCTCAAACTAGACATACCCTACGGATAGATATCAATTTCTTTTTAAACGCGTACGCCTATTTGCTATACTATAACCCAAGATGTTAAAGTACATGGACCGGGATGTTCACATACGTCTTTGATTCTTACAGTAGACCTGACACCAGGTAATTATCCCAGAAATGAGGTCATCTACCTTAAGGCTTTCCTAAACGGTGACCGAAAATCTAGGTCACCTACTAAGCCAGTTGAACAGTGGGACGGAAAGCAATCAGCTGATTAAAGATTTGGAAATATGGGAGCCGAAGAAGGACATTACGTTGTCCACTTGCTGGCTATTTTCACGCTTTGCCTACATTCAACCTGTAAGTTAGTCTTCTCTGTGTACGTTTCTCTTCTACATCAAGTGTAGTTGTCTACGTTTAATCTGTAAGTTGGTCTGTTCTGTGTACATTATTCTTCTACATCAAGATTTACGTTTTATATCAACTGTCTGTATCTGTATGTTTTTAAAAAAAAATATATGTCTTGTTTTATGGTGGTTCCTCTCAATTTTATCAACTTTAATCGACATTCATATCGATTCTGATACAGAAGCTCAGACCCATATCCATTTATGAAATCTTGTTAGGCTGCCAGTAACTCACCTGTTGGCATTTTTATAAAATTAAGATTGAAATTCACAGACCCATGCTCTGAAGGGCATGTCAAGTCTCCCTTATAACACTGTTGCTGTAGGTTTCCATTGGGTCATTAGATTAACAAAATATATTTTTTTAAACCGAATGATTACATTTGCAGTAAGTTCTTCTGTGTTTTGTCTTCTTTTTTTCCCCTCTCAAAGGTATCATGACTAGTTTTAAATAACGAGTTGATCATTACTGAATGCATTTCATCTCTTGAATGTTCTAATAATTTATTGACCTGCACTCAATTTTTAAGAGAGTTTCTTAAACTTTTAATTATTTTTTATGGTTGTTTTTACGAAAGTAGTTTGCTTCATTGATATGTTAATAGTTATGTTTATTTAGATGTAAATATTACAGCTGATTCTCAATTTGTAAAACTTATAATGAAAAGACATTTAAACTGGACCGTTGAGGGACACGTTAATTGCATGGACTTGTCAAGCCAGTAGCGACTACTGACAACTTTCTATGTTTCAGTGGCAGGCATCCACCTTGAAGCCCATCCCCTCATTATTGACCCATCGGTCAACTCATCTCTGACCATCAACTGTACATTCCGTCCGGACAGCTCATCGTCGATGGCTGCTCTAATATCTCTCATTGTGTCACGAACCAAAGATCTCTCTCAACCGTTCCAAGAATTGGCTTCGATTAACGTCAAATCAGATAGCCAGGTCAATCACCTTGTCAACCACAGCTTCGTGGCCACCGGAAACATCTCTGCAACTTCTGACTCAAGTCTTCTTCTGTCATGGACCAACCCTTCGGAACGCCAGCCGGGCAGTTACAGATGCACAGCTCAAGGTGTGGACAACGTTGGACACCAGGTTGTCGCTACACAAGATGTCCACATCACTGCCATTCTATCGATTACCGATCAGCTAAATTTCGAGCTTGACAGTTTCGAGGCATCTTTAAACATTTTCCAGCATAACGTAACAATTTTTCAAAACAAGAGAAATCAAGAATTGCAGGATTTAAGAGAGACCCTAAAATCTGTTGAGACCACCGAAAACTTCTTTCGCCACAAACTTCAAACCATGAAAACGACCATGTTTAACAGAACTATGATACACAGTAACCATACCTACTACTTATCTGAGGACGTCTACAGGCATGATGATATCAATTCCGCCGTCTGCGAGCTGTTCGGGGGATACCTCGTGGAAGTTGATGACGTCGACGAGCAAGAAGCCCTTAAGGCCTTCATGGAGAACGGCACGGATTATTTCGGGATTTTGATTTCCGGTTCTGGCGTGGAACGAGAGGGCCGCTGGTTGCATCAGCGGACAGGTCTGCCTGTGAACTACACCGACTGGAGGCCCGGGGAGCCGGACGACGGGGTTGTTTATAATTGTGTCACCTTGGAGAAGTTTAAGGACGAGTGGTCCATGACGGACAACAAATGTCATCAAAACCCTTTCTACATCCGCTACGTCTGTGAGATGCCATTTGTGGATCAGGGGATTAGAGCGTTAGACGGGGAGATCTAAACTTCAAAACAACACAAGAGCTGGTTGGATAATACCGTGGATTAAATTCATCGCTACAGCTACAGGACTGGAAGAAACGTATTCCAATAGTTCAGAGATTCCGGTATTCCCGGCCTCTGTTAAAATAATCAAGATTAAAAATGGATTTGTAAACTAAAAAAAAAAAAAAAAAATTAAAAAAAAATTAAAATTAACAAAATCAAATAATGAAATCTTTATACCATTGTTAACATAGTTCAGAGATTCCGGTATTCCCGGCCTCTGTTAAAAAAATCAAGATTAAAAATGGATTTGTAAACTAAAAAAAAAAAAAAAAAATTAAAAAAAAATTAAAATTAACAAAATCAAATAATGAAATCTTTATACCATTGTTAACACACACACACAAACAAAATAATAATAAATTTCGCTTGAATGTACACTCAATGTGTTTCATGCGGGATAATCTTTTATGCTTTATTGTATGGGTGGTTTAAATCAAGTATAGTTTCTAGTGTTTCATACTGAAGGTTCTCGGATGTGTGTCGCAATAACTTTTTAGATGTTTTTTTTTTTTTAATTGTAAGCCGTGAACTCTTATCATAATCTTGTTGTTAATCTCGTAGTAATTAAATATATATTTATATATAGATCTGCATATGAATCTTTTTTTATTTTTAAAATACATGTTTTGCCTGATTTACCTGGCTAATTTATTTTTTTAACCACAATTTCCCCTGAAATAAGAAATTCAAATCAAAATTCTCTGGGTGCGTAACGGGGCTGTAACGTTTTGTTCAACAGGTGCGCAAAATAAAATTCTCAGAGTTTAGCACTGATTTGAATTGTTATATATTTCGTTACTTAGATGCATGTTTTGTCAACTAACGTTAGTAGACGGGAATTTCCCGCATTGCCGCCGCTATTGTGTGGCGAGTTATTTCTAGTATTTATTCAATTAAGCTTTATGACCGAAATGTTCATGTGGTGAAGAGTGTACAATTAAAAATTTTTTTTTATTGTTTACCGTCTTATGATTAAAAACTTTTAATGACCAAAAACAAAAATTATCTCGATCCGAAAACTATACCTTCAAAAGAAATGGAACGAATTTTGTTCCGTTAAATAAAATAGAAATATTATATTTTTATTGAGTTTACTAAGCCTGGCTTTATAATTACACTCAAAGTTCTTTAAATTTTTCAGTTTGTGCAGTGCGTGTAGATATCAGTCCACGCCAGGTAGACCTCGGCTTAAACACGACTCTTGAGGTCAACTGCACATTTACGACCGACCCACCTTCTACCATTGCCGCCGTCGTCTCTCTAATCTTGTCGAAGTCAAGGGCCGCTAACCACAACCTCATTGAGCTGGCGTCTCTCAGCCAATACAGCGGGCAGCAGGTGAATCTGTTTACGACGGGTGACGATGTCACAGCCGCAGGCAGCATCAGTGGAGACGGCGTGTCCTACCTCAGTCTAAGCTGGGCCTCTCCTTCTGACGCGGATGCTGGAGTTTACACCTGCTCAGCACAAGGGATGGACACGGTTGGACACATTATTGTTGAAAAGGACGCGGCGCAAGTGTCCTTAATTCATCTTCCCACTGACCAACAACCATCGGACGTCCTACAAGAACTTAAGGAAAACTTTCAGACTTTAGAGAAAACTTATGAACAAATATCGCACGAATCTTTATCGCAAATCGACCATCTCAATAGCACGTTATCAAACAACCAAAATTTCATAAAGGTTTTAGAAACAAGATTCACCGCAATGAAAAGTTCACTTTTTGAAGTCCCGATGACGTACCGTAACAGCAGCTACTTCCTGTCACGTCACAACTGGAGGAACTTGAACAACGCAAAGGCCATGTGTGAGCTGTACGGTGGCTACCTTGTGGAGATAGATGACGAAGGCGAGTTCATCGCGTTGTCCGCGTTTTTGAACCACTCCACGGGAGTGGATGGAATCCTGACTGGAGGGACGGATCTTGAGGATGAGGGCCGTTACGTGTTCCAGGAGAGCGGGGAGCCGATGGTTTATCAGAACTGGGCCATTTTGGAGCCCGATAACACAACGACTGAGAACTGCATAGTTCTGTGGAAATATCGCGGTTGGCAGATGGCAGATTATCCATGTTTTGAAAATATTTTAAATCTCCGATTTGTTTGTGAATCTGAAAAGGATGTGACCATATTAGATCTTTGATTTTTTTCAAAAATTGACAAAATGTCATTCTGTGAGTCCACCCATCACACACCCCCCCCCCAACCAAACACACACACACACATTTAAAAAAAATTCTTTTAAACCTTTTTTTTTGTTACAAAGTCAATAAATCGTGTGTATATTCAGTGTGGGTTTTAATGAACACCCATCACACAATTGACTGTTAAATAAGAAATGGCGTTTAAATTATTTCAATTTTAATGCATATATTAACAAAAAAAAATTGCCGCCGGTCGGCTCAAAAAATAGATCCATATAATGGTTTGGTCGATCTCTTGTCACAACAATCAATCAGACAACCAGTGTGTACTACTTTGCTGAGTAATCTTTTGATGACATGAGCTTGGGAAACTCTTAATAAAATGATTAGGTTACAGTTGAATAAATAGTTTTGGTAGCTCATGTGTAAGTTAGTTCGTAGAGGCAATAAATACCCATACAGATTCGTTCAGTAATCATTTTATAGTAGCTCATGTGTAAGTTAGTTCGTAGAGGCAATAAATACCCATACAGATTCGTTCAGTAATCATTTTATAGTAGCTCATGTGTAAGTTAGTTCGTAGAGGCAATAAATACCCATACAGATTCGTTCAGTAATCATTTTATAGTAGCTCATGTGTAAGTTAGTTCGTAGAGGCAATAAATACCCATACAGATTCGTTCAGTAATCATTTTATAGTAGCTCATGTGTAAGTTAGTTCGTAGAGGCAATAAATACCCATACAGATTCGTTCAGTAATCATTTTATAGTAGCTCATGTGTAAGTTAGTTCGTAGAGGCAATAAATACCCATACAGATTCGTTCAGTAATCATTTATAATTTGATAATTGTTGTGAAACGCATTCTTTTTTCTGTAGTTATTTGAAATTATATTTATTGAATGATTTCCATTTACATTGTAATGTGCTGATTTGTTGTCTAGGACTATTTTAAATGTACACTTTTGTTAACTGTATGCTGCTATCCGTGTATGTACACACCAGTAGTGTTTTTTGACAAAGGTGTGAAGTCAATGTAACCTAATGTAACATACAAGTATTAGTCTGATAAGAGGAAATTATAAGATGAAATCATCAATGTGCTGCATACTTTGATCCAAAACAAAAACCAATCCTGATTTTAGCTTTGCTCTTTTCAGTCTCAGGCCTCGTGGTTGAAGTGACCCCTGGGGTATTTGATCCTGACGGGAGCAGATCTCTGACGGTCAACTGCACGTTCTCCCGCGGTGTCCGAGATGACGTGACAGCCGTCGTTTCACTGATAGTATCGAGGTCGCAGTACTCTTCCTCTGACACCTTTATCGACTTAGCATCCATCAACGAATACTCCAGTAACCAGGTGAACGTTTTCGGATCGGAGAACACCACGGCTACTGGCAGCATCGACCCACAGAAAAACTCATTCATAAGCCTCTACTGGGATTCCCCTTCAACGCGCGAGGCCGGCAACTACAGGTGCTCCGCACAGGGGATCACTTCCGTAGGCCACAGTATTGTTGAGACGGAGGACGCAGAAGTCAGGCTCCTTCTACGTCCAGACGATCACCAGCTAAACCGAACGAAGCTGTTGCAGGATAGATTAAAGAGCATAGATCTTAGGCTCTCTGAGTTTAAAAACTCAACAGACAAAGAAATGTCTGCTCTTAAACAAGACATTACAAAATCCGATACTTTTATTGCAGAGATCCGCCGACGGTTTGAAACGATCCAATCCACATTGTTTGATAGACCGGTCCGCTATGAGAATAGCAGATACTACGTATCAAAACACAACTGGAGGTATCCGAGCCTTGATGAGTCCATGTGTGACCTGTTGGGGGGAAGTCTGCTGGAGATAAGCGATGTCAATGAATTCAAAGCGGTGTCGGATTTTCTCCGCAACGATTCTGCTTTCGACGGCGTGCTGACGGGCGGCAGTCACGAAGATAAAGAAGGCGCCTACGTGTTCATGGGAAGCGGGAGAGAGATGGTCTATAAAAACTGGGCTCCCGGGGAGCCCAAGGGGACTCGCGATGAAAACTGCGTGGTGCTGCTCAAACAGTATGGATGGCAAATGGCGGTGAAGCCGTGCTTTGATAACAGACTGAACTATAGGTTTGTGTGTGAGACTGAACTGTAGGTTTTTTGTGTGAGACTGAGCTATAGGTTTGTGTGTGAGACTGAACTGTAGGTTTGTCTGTGAGACTGAACTGTAGGTTTGTCTGTGAGACTGAACTGTAGGTTTGTCTGTGAGACTGAACTGTAGGTTTGTCTGTGAGACTGAACTGTAGGTTTGTCTGTGAGACTGAACTGGAGGTTTGTCTGTGAGACTGAATTGCAGGCTTAGTGTGTGAGACTGAATTACAGGCTAGTGTGTGAGACTGAAGTATAGGTGTGTGTCTGTGTGTGTGTAAGTAAAACTGAAACGAATCAAGGTTTAGCTTATACTTAATGTTCATTGATTAAACAACTCTACAAAATCAACTATTTGATGTTCTCTCTCGAATGCTAACATACAAACGTGAAACATCTAATATTAAGTTTTGTGTCCATGTCGTTCACCCTCAAGTCAATATAATTCAGTTGTTCTCAACCTTCCTATTGCCGCGACCCTTTAATACAGTTCCTCATGTTGTGGCGACCTCCTGCCTGAAAATTATTTTCGTTGCCACTTCATAACTGTAGAGCTCATGAGTTTTCAGATGGTCTTAGGCGACCCCTGGGAAATGTTCTTGCGACCCCCAAAGGGGTCGTGACCCCCCCCTCCCCAGGTTGAGAACTGCTGATATAAATAGTTATATTTGTAAAAAGTTCATCTTATATATTGTTAAATACTGTTATCCGTAAGTAGAAACTAATCTCCTATTTAAGAATAAGGCTACTTCTAAAACGGTACACAACAAGAGACGATACCATATGTTAAGTACAATAACAAAGAAAACGATACTCATACAATTTAGCAAACATAATCATGAACTTAAAAAATTAATAAAATTAAATTAATTTAATGTGGTTTTTTTATGCGTGTGGGAGTCTTATGAATTATATGTGGGGCGGAAAAATTTCACTTTGCATTGTTGTAAAATGTTCAAGAGGTCGATGTGGCAACGAAAAGCGACTAAAAATGATATATTTAAATGAGAATATTCCTATTAACAACACAAACAAGCAAACAAACAAACAAACAAAAAAACAACAACAAAAAAACAAACAAAAAAATCTTCCTACGAAGAAACCATGTACATCATGAGTTATGTTTCCGTTGACAAAAAGAAATGAAATTTATATCAACGTAATATTGAATCTATTCAAGAGCTTTTCAAGAGCTATTATTCAAGAGCTATTATTCAAGAGCTATTCAAGAGCTATTATTCAAGAGCTATTCAAGAGCTATTCAAGAGCTATTCCAGAGTCAGAAACAAGCGGCACAAAAAAAAAAAATGGGTAAAATATTATTATTGAGAGAAAGCATTGCCCGTGCTCTACAGAGACAAAGCAGAATAACTCATTAAGTGCTAATCGAAAAATGAAGGCTGCACTTGAAACACTGTATTAACTTGTCACATTTCATCCTATGATTGCCGTATAAAAAAAATGACATTGAATAACGGAAATTCTAGAATTCCGTGAGCAACAAAAACAATAAATGATGGCCCATATTTTTTTTTTTAATGTAAGCGTGATTTATTTGCTATCATTTTGTTTTGCGTCATCAATATTTCCATTGATTAAAACACATTCATAATAACATTCTCTTTCCAATGTATCAAGTGATGTATTTTGATAACAGTGAATTATAGAGTTGCTTTAAATTTACAGATGACATAAAGGTTTTTGAAGTGTTGAGTGTGCAGAAGAAATTCTACTTCATTACGTCCCTGTTGTGTGAAACACGTCTTTTTTTTGCCCTGTGCTTTCAGCAATGCTTGGTTTGCTTAGTGTGTTTAAACATGGCTACTTACTCTAATGTGGTCATCCCATGTAAACATGGCTACTTACTCTAATGGGGTCATCCCATGTAAACATGGCTACGTACTCTAATGTGGTCATCCCATTTAAACATGACTACTTACTCTAATGTGGTCATCCCATGTAAACATGGCTACGTACTCTAATGTGGTCATCCCATTTAAACATGGCTACTTACTCTAATGTGGTCATTCCATGTAAACATGGCTACGTACTCTAATGTGGTCATCCCATGTAAACATGGCTACTTACTCTAATGTGGTCATTCCATGTAAACATGGCTACTTACTCTAATGTGGTCATCCCATGTAAACATGGCTACTTACTCTAATGGGGTCATCCCATGTAAACATGGCTACTTACTCTAATGGGGTCATCCCATGTAAACATGGCTACTTACTCTAATGGGGTCATCCCATGTAAACATGGCTACTTACTCTAATGTGGTCATCCCATGTAAACATGGCTACTTACTCTAATGGGGTCATCCCATAAATCCTTTCCCAAATGTATTCAATCATGGCTACTTGCCTTCGGATGCAAAAAAAAAAACAAAAACATGGTTACTTCCCTCTTATGCAAACTCATGTTTTCCTAATGTTCTCAACAATGTGTACTTTCCCAGATGTCTTCAGTCACGTCTACCTTCGATAATATGATCAAACATGACGAACTTTCCCAAAAATGTTCATCATTGCTACTTTCCCTAAAATGTCCACTCATTGCTTACTTTCCCTAAAATGTCCAATCATTGCTTACTTTCCCTCAGCTTCAGAAACCTTTGCTAGGCCCCCAACAGTGTGTTCAAACACGTCCACATTCCTTCGTGTACAAAAACAGGGTTACTTTGAAGAGAGCGTTAAACACTAGCTTCTCTGTAGACACATCCTTTCTCCTTTTTCCTCATCTCCTTCAATTCATGAACACTGTCTGTATTTTAACCAGATGAACTTGAACGCATTTTTTTTTTCTCTCCGTGACAAACATTAAACATTTTAATACACAAATTACTGTTGGTCGGAAACGAATTCTAAAAATAAACTCTTAGAGTTGGAATGAACAGAACGCGGCAAAAAAAGTAATGAGAAAAAGGAATACCGGTAAAATAAAAAATATCAGAAGGTTGGGAAATAAAGTAAAAATTAAATGAAATTATGTGTTTAGTGTTGTTGTTATATTTTATTTTATTTTAATTTTTTTATTATTATTTGTATTATTACCTTTTACTTTTATTTTGCCAAACACAAGCTTAGAAGAGTTGATGAAATTATTTTTCAAATAAAAACTTTTTTTTTTCTTCTAGCATGTTCCATAAAAGTATTGATGACGTAATAAATAGAAGATCATTTGCATACACCGGAACAAGATCATAAAACAAGTGCAGCTCTAAGCAGTTTTAAATGCAGGCTCGGAGGAAAAGGCGTCCTACATTATCCTCGTGGGAGCTGGCAAGCCAGGCTTTCTTTCAATTATTGGGGGGAGATTCCAGACGCTCAAAGACTCGTGTTTTAGCGGGACAGGAAATTGGAAGTCCGCCATTTGCAAGTACGTCTGGGGATTTGTGGATGCCCGTTGTGACAGAAGGGGGCTGCACCCTTCGACCGATACAAGAAAATGTTTTCGCGTTGTAGACAATGGCGGATGGTTGTCACGTGAGCCGGAAGCTACGTGACGTGGGAGATTTATTGCGTATACATAATTTCAATGCAGCAGAGAGTGATAATATTTGCTAATAATAAACTAGTGTGTCCAAAGGTCTGCAAAATCAGCCAATAATAGAGTAGTGTCTGCATACGTTGCAATATTTTAACATGTAGATGAAGTAAATAAGGCGCGTGTTAGAACTTGACAAGTTCTCTTTGTAATTTCATCTCAATCCCCCCCCCCCTCCCCCCACACTTTTATTTTTTTTTACTAATTTCTGCAATAGTCAACTTTGATTTATTCAGTATTTATTTGAGTTGAGTTACCTGATTAAAGATTCTCTAACTTACATTTTGGACATATGCCTGAAGTGTTCTTCGCGCTAAACACATTAAAATCTCCATCCATTTTATAGCAATATTTAGAAAGTTTCAAGGCATAAACTTTATATTCAAAAATTAGAAATAGATATAAATCAGGTAATAGAAATGTATTTGCTTATTTCTACATCCCTTTCATTTGTTGCTCTTTTTTTCACATTTTCAAATCTTAATAATAATAATTATAATACTAACGAAATATCACATTAAAACTGTCAATCATCTATAAGGCAGTGGAGAGATTTTGAAAGTGAACTTGAAAATAATTTTTTTAGAGGGGTGGGGTGGTTGGTTGGGGATGCACGTGAGAATACAATATAATTAACGAACAAAAGGATTGAAGCTGACACACGATTGAAGCGAATTTTTTTTTTTCCTCAGAACAACAGAAACTCGAGAGTCAACATCGCGTCCTTGGGCACCGCCGCGAGAAGGGAAAACACTTGGCCACGGGACTGAGTGAGTGGCTTTTCATTTTGAACTCATTCCAAAAGACGACATGGGAACGTCCCACAACCCCTGTCAAACATGGGTCTTCTGCGGGTCCCACTAGGATATTTGCTCGGTTGATCTTTCTCGGTCGGCTCTGAGAACTCAACTAATTTCTCAAGCTCTGAGATTCTTCTTGTAATGGGCGGTTTAAAATAATTGGTATCGCCAAGTCTGTAACGATGCTGGAAAGTAATCGGTCTATTAAATCGCGTTAGAATTTAAGTTGCTTTTTTTAAAGCCGTTACGTTATTCTTTTTCTCTACATCCGCATACTCTGTTATTTTATTATTTAACTAATAAAAATCGAAGTAAATACACAGATAGTGTGAGAGAAGATAAACTTTATGGTACAAAATCGAACTTCAAAACAATGTAGATTACAAAAGAAATTTGTCTCTTCAAATATTGAAAATACTACAATATATTCCCTCAAAATCATAGAATTTACATTTTAAATCAAATTTACTTTGTTGAAAACAAAAATTCTTAGAAATGTAATCGAATACGCCGGTCGACTGATAATAATGCCTGAAATTGATTCCGCTAAAGCGGAACTCGAGGCGCCACAGAGACAAGCTCTGGACGGACTTGACAGTTGATTTCGTTATTGTCTGACAGCGGCTTGTTAGTGTGACAGGCGAGGGTCCTACTCGAC